GGCGTATCAGTAAAAGAGGTAGGATTGATCTATTATTAGTATTTTGTGATCACTTAAAGTGTAATTTTTGCAATATTATAGTGGGATTTCGGCACTCTGCAATTTAATAGTGATAATGCTTCGGGTTGCATTGGTTGGGCATTCCTGCCTTTCAAGTTACTATTTCAGTATTCAACGTTTTTTGGAACCCCCTATTGTAGGTGGAACACTAAATGTTGATGACTATACCGTAGCGATCCCTAAAGTAATTACAATAATTTTAATAATTTTGTTGTTGATTTGTATGATATTCAACAAATGGTTTTGGAAACACAGAGACCGTAATTATCAGAGGTATATATAATAGAATGTCACTTCGTAGTTAAAAAATAATGCCTGGTGATTAACTTTGAAATATCAATTTATCTGTTACAATTTATTAGCTATTTCTATGGTATATATCATGTGGAAGAAACAATGTACGATCTCTCTCTTTTGAAAAATACAAAAAAAAAACACCTTTTTCTTCCCCTTCTTGTCTTCCCAATTTTTAATTAATTGTTCAAATTTAATTTGTTTGATCCGATCACTTTATAGTAATATTTTAACGCTAATACTGCCATGTAATCAATATTTGACCTACCTGATAATTTCTTATACTATCATTAAACTCTAATGTAAAGCATATAGCATTTGGCTATTATCAATAAATTTATGTGATCGGATTATAATTATCACAGATAAACAATAGATAGATTTGCACTAATTGAGATAATAAATTATTGGCGATCGTGAACCTAAAATTCTTCACACGTTACAATATTTTTTTGGATTATACATGTATCATTTTAAAATTAGCGATAGAATAATTAGATCAGTAATTTGCTAATAATTAACTAAATCATCTAAATGCTAATTCTATTATCAAATTTGTTAATTAAATCAATAAAGTAGTAATTGAATGTTACTTGTAATTTATTGGATAACATGGTGTAATCTTTCATTTGCTAATTCTTTATAAAAAGAGAAAAATTTTCTCTAGATGTAAAGGGATAACTTTGGAATAACTTTGTTAACAAATAAAAAAATATATAACTTATAAATAAATCGAATGTTATTATTGTTTTTAATATTATTTTTTTATGATGTGTTTCAATTTCTCAATCCAGGATGAAATTTGTCTTAGGAGTTATCACCTCTCCTTTGTAAAATAAAATAAAAAATGCACCTTTTTTTGTTAATTTTACCAAATCCCTTTTAAAAATTGAGTGGGCCAAGTGTATAGAAAAAAATAATTAAGCAGACAATAGGAAAAGATTTATTTTTCTTTTTTTTGAGATTCCCTAATATTAAATAGATTTAACTTAATAAATTATATTTGTACAAAAGTTACAAAAGTTTCATATTTACTTTTTACAAATCTTTTCATATATTGTGAATTTTCTGTATTATATCCGTTATAAGAAAGAGATTGTTAACAGTGTGTCAAAGTTTTTATTTAGTGGTGAAAGAAAGTACGTAGTATAATCCTTCTCCAGATTTAACAGACTTTACCAACAACAAAATTTGGGCGCCTGGCTTAAGAATAACCCTTAACACCAGTAATTCTCCAAAGTTAACCCCAGAGAAGAGAAAGAACGTTTACGGTGTCAATCCGCAGCCACGATGTGCTTTCAATTTCTCAACCCCAAGATAAATTTGTCTAGGGAGTTACCCTCTTTTGTAAAATAAAAAAAAAAACACACCTTTGTCAATCTCACCAAATCCATTTTAAAAAATCGGGTGGCATAAGTGTATAGAAAAAAATAATTAAGCAGTTAATAGGGAAAGGGTGTAAATAAATAAATAAATAAATAAAAATAACTTGCTAAAGAGATGAGCATATCATTATGATCTGCAGTTACGCAATCTGATGATAATCTCGGAGCAATAAACATAATCAGAATACTTTATCAACGCAACAAATATTTGCTTTACTTTTGTAATTGATAAGCTTTATAAACAGGATCTGTCTTGTTTAAATTTTGCAATAATTCTATTTCTACACATCTTCATTTGTCACTATAATAAATTAAAAATTAATTAAATAAATATATAAATTGAAAATAATAAATAATTCTATAATTCATCAATCGCTTTTTTTTTTATCAACTGGTATCTTATATCACATTTATCGCGAATTTCTGCAAAAAAGTTCACTGGGATCTTCAACTATAACATAAAACTAACAGGTTGACTTTATTGATATATGCGTTAATATATTAAAATGACGTAGCAAATGTACTTGGTTAAATTTGATATAAGAACAACGCAAAAAAAAAGTTCAAATTTATAATAATAAATAAAAATAAAAATAAATAAATAAATAAATAGAATCTAAATAAATCCTTCTAATAATAAATATTGATCTTCATTAATTATGAGTTCTATTTTATCTGATCATCAGAAGCGATTAATATTGTTCAACAGAATCCGGTGTTCTATCTTTATTCTCAACTGATTGTACTAGTGATAGGAACAATAGCTGAATTTACGTAACTGTCCAAAGAATCCGTTTGTATAATGTTCGTATCTAATATCTCATCATTTGCATTATTTACATTGGTTGCATCATCATTTATTACGGGAAGATCAGTGTTCTCAGTGTTTTCAGTGTTCGTTGAAGGTGGATCATTTTCTTGAATCGTATTCACTATATTCGCTACATTCGCTACATTCGCTACATTCGCTACATTCGCTACATTCATCACATTTGCCACATTTGCTACATTTGCTACATTCGCTTCTGGTTGGACAAAATTTATATCTAATGTATTTTCATTGGTAAAATCAAGTGGTTGAGCGATAATATTAGCTGAATTTATATTTCCTGTAGGTAAAACTGTAGTTGTGTCAGTTTGTTGAATAACATTCACGTCTGTAATTATATTTCTAGTTACATTAGTCGTAATATCCCCACTTTCTGTGACAATTTCTATTCCTTCATTAGTAGCTACCTCTGCTTGTACCGCAGTTTTTTCCTTTTCTTCCTTTTCTCTTTGTTTAGCTCTTGCAAATATTATCTAAGTTAATTAT